CCCCCCGGGGGGAGGGATCTCAAGGGAAAACCCCCCCCCCCTTTTGCCTTTTTGGAGGGGGGCTTTTGTTCCCCCCCCCATTTGCCAAGCCTTAAAATCCGGGGGGCCTTTTTTGGGGAAATTTTGGGATGTTTTTGGAATTTTTTTGGGAAATTTTTGGGTTCCATTTCCCCCCCCCCCCAAAATGGGGGGGGGGGGTTTGGGGTTTTTTGGCCTTCCCCCCCCCCCCCCCCCCAAAAACTTCCGCTTCTTCCGCCTCTTCTTCCGCCTCTTCTTCGGCTTCCCCGGCCTCCTCTTCCCTTTGGCACCTCCTCCTCCTCCCCGCAGGACACCCGCCCCCATGGCCTCTTTTGCGGCAGGTTCACCTCCCCCCCCCCCCCCCTTTCCCCCGCAGGCGCACAACCCCGACCCGAGCCGCTTCTGCCCCGTCCAGCTCACCGGCTTCCAGGCGCTGCAAGAGAAGAGGAGAGAAGAGAAGAGGAGAACGTAGCTCACCGGCTTCCAGGCGCTGCAAGAGAAGAGGAGAGAAGAGAAGAGGAGAACGTAGCTCACCGGCTTCCAGGCGCTGCAAGAGAAGAGGAGAGAAGAGAAGAGGAGAACGTAGCTCACCGGCTTCCAGGCGCTGCAAGAGAAGAAGAGAGAAGAGAAGAGGAGAACGTAGCTCACCGGCTTCCAGGCGCTGCAAGAGAAGAGGAGAGAAGAGAAGAGGAGAACGTAGCTCACCGGCTTCCAGGCGCTGCAAGAGAAGAGGAGAGAAGAGAAGAGGAGAACGTAGCTCACCGGCTTCCAGGCGCTGCAAGAGAAGAGGAGAGAAGAGAAGAGGAGAACGTAGCTCACCGGCTTCCAGGCGCTGCACGAGCGGCACGCAGCGCAGCAGCAGACCGCCGCACGCGTCGCCTCCGCCCTCCACTCCAGCTGCGACGACTTGCGCGCCCTCGAGGACGAGCGCGAGGTGAGCGTCGCGCTGCGGCTGCGCCACTGCCAGTCCAGGCACGGCGAGACATTTCCGAGACACGTCCGAGACACGTCCGAGACACTGCCAGTCCAGGGCAGCGAGTTCTTACCGCCCCCGGCCTCCACCTCACTCCTTTGCTTGCTGCGAGAGAGGAGAGTTGTGCGGCCGCAGGCAGCTGCTCCTTCCTAGACACTCCCTAGACACTCCCTAGACACTCCCTTGACACTCCCTTGACACTCCCTTGACACGTCCTTGACACTCCCTTGACACGTCCTTGACACTCCCTTGACACTCCCTTGACACTCCCTTGACACTCCCTTGACACTCCCTTGACACTCCCTTGACACTCCCTTGACACTCCCTTGACACTCCCTTGACACTCCCTTGACACTCCCTTGACACTCCCTTGACACTCCCTTGACACTTCCTTGAGTGGTGTGCGGCCGCAGGCAGCTGCAGCTCTCGCACCGCATCGTCGCGCTCGCCGCCGCCGTCGAGTCGTCCCGGCTGGCACGCGCCGAGCCGCGCGGCGGCGGCGAGGCGCCCCCCTCCAAGGGCGAGCGCGCGTGTGGAGGTGTGTCGGAAGTGTCTCGGAAGTGTCTCGGAGGTGGGCTCTAGGCGCCCCTCTCCAAGGATGAGCGCGCGTGGGTCGACAGGCTGCGCGGCGTCGCGTCGGCCGTGCGGCACCCGTCTCTAGAGACACTTCCGAGACACTTCCGAGGGGAGGCACTTCCGAGACACTTCCGAGACGCTTCCGAGACACTTCCCCGAGAGTCACGCGCTCGAGACGCCCCTGCGCGGTGCCGCGCCCCTCGGTCCTCACGCAGTCCGCCCAGCACCGCGTCCCCCCCCGGGGGGGGAGGGGGTCCCCGCCCCCCTCATCTCGCTGTGCCCACACGCTACCAGGCAGGGCAGGGGGCTGTGAATAGAAGAGCTGTGAATAGAAGAGCTGTGAACAGGCAGCCCGGGCAGGGGGCGGCGCGGCTGCACGCTCTCGCCTCGTCGATTGCGCTGCAGGGCGGCGGCGGCGCGGCGGTCGGCGGCCGCGGCGGCGGCGGGGCGGCGGCGGAGCTCTCTCTGCCCGTTCTGCGCGAGTGGCGCGCGCCACATAGACGCCGAGAGGGGGGGGGGGGGGAAGGGGGGGGGGGGCGGCACACGGGTGCTGCCCGGAGGGCGGGAGTAAAAAGGCAATCTGGGGACACAGCTCCCCCGCTGCAGGCACTTTGCTGACGCTACCCCCCCCCCTTCCCCCCCCCCCCCTCTGGGGGGGTTTGGGGGGGGGGCCCCCCCCGCCGAAAGGGGGGGGGGGGGTTCCGGGGCGCCCCGGGGGGGGGGGGGGTCTGGAAATTTTAATTTTGGGGGGGGGGGG